TAGGTCAGAGTTGCTCACCCAAACTGCATCTGTGGAAGAGTTCATTGACATTTTGTGTGGACAACTCGACAACATAACAACACATTCTTTTGTCGCTAAGTCACAGGCAAATTACCTGAGGACTCTTAAGGAAGAGATCAAGCAGGAAGAGGTAATAGTACTTGGGGATTTTTCAGAGAACTTCAAATTTGTTGTTCAGGACGAATCTCAAGGTTACCATTGGAATCAAAGGCAATGTACTTTACATCCAGTGGTAATCTATCACAAATTTACAGAACCAGCTTCACTGGTTTCCGAATCAATATGTTTCCTCTCGGATGACCTTGACCATGACGTTAGCATGGTCTACAAGATTTTACAAGAAACAGTACATTTCATAAAGGAGAAAATCTCCCCTGGCATAAAGCTGATCCATTATTTTTCTGATGGCTGTGCAGGGCAATACAAGAATTGTAAGAATTTCGTGAACCTTTGCCACCATCAGGAAGATTTTGGTATCAAATGCCAGTGGAACTTTTTTGCCACTAGCCACGGCAAATCTCCATGTGATGGAATTGGCGGTACGGTGAAAAGGCTTGTGGCAAAAGCAAGTCTCCAACGACCAATGCAAAACCAAATTTTGTCAGTCCATGAAATGGTTTACTTTTGCAAAGCTGATATCAAGGGTATTCACTTTGAATTTCTCTCAAGCAATGATATCAGTAACCTAAGAGAAGAATTGAAGTCAAGGTTTCAGCTTGCAAGAACAGTTCCTGGCACAAGGGGATACCATCAGTTTGTTCCAATATCTATGACTAAAATTGGAGCAAAGCGAGTTTCAGAAAATAAAGAGTTCGACTTCACATTTTCTTTCACTGATGAGCCTACCATTAGGAAAGAAACATTTTACTCGGGCAGCTTCATCGTGTGCAGATATGATGATCAGCTTTGGTTGGGCATGATTTCTCAAGCCGATAATGATAATAGTGAGGTTCTTGTGAGTTTCATGCATCCTCACTTCCCAGCACGATCTTTCTCATGGCCAAGAAGAGCTGATACATGCTGGGTTCCAATTTCAAAAGTTCTTTGCGTTGTTGATGCCCCTATAACATCAACTGCCTCTGGGCGACAATATTGCCTACAGCAAACAACATTGAATCATGTATCAGAAATATTGAAAAGAAGTGATCCATTTGCCACTTCAGGACATATATAGTGACATATTGTATATACTTTTAGCAAGTTTATGTTAATGAAATGGTAAGATTTTGACAAAAACAGCAATTAATACATATAATTTTTATCTGTTACTGTTTTTTTTATAATCTGGAGTTCGATGATGAGCAGCTTCAACAAGGCTGATTCCTTGAAATCTTGATATTTTAGATAGATTTTGTTCAAAGAAGGAGAATATAACCTCTTCAATTTTTTGCTGAGAATCAGTGTTAAGACTGGTCTAAGAGTTGGCAGAATTTGAAACTTGTCACATTTTGCCAACATTGAGATTTTCACACAAATGTCCCTAGCTTTTGTTGCCATGGCAACTATATGTCTAATTATCTATCACAGTAGGTCTTTAATTCTTTTGTAAAATCTGTTTTTAAGTTCATTTTTGGAATCTGCATGTGCAATTTACTCAGATTTGGTAATTTTTCTATCCTGAATCCAATGCTTAATAGCAGTTCAGGTTGTTCAAAAAATGTTTTAAATTCAAAATGGCGGATCTCGAAAAATTGGGACGAAAAACATAAAATTTCAAATGTTTCTATTTTTGGAAATATTTCAGATATTCACTTGAAATTTTCAATTTGTGTTTATTCCATATTTACCCATATTTACACAAAAAATCAGCCAATTCTGAGGGGATGGGTGACAAAGTTGCTTATTTTGTCCCTCTTTGACATGGAATGACCCTTTATCAAAATCTTCCTCAAACGCTTCATCGGGTTCAGCTGCATGGATAGGATCGTTCTTTGTCTCATTCATTCGAATTGTACAAGAGGGGCAAAGCTTTTGGCCAGGAACGACATCAAATCCTCTGGTTACCAAATCCTTTGCATTTGACAATTTGATCTCCTTGAGACCACCTGTAATCCAAGGCAACAAACACCATTAACAACTTAGTTAGCTTCAGTTCAGAAAAAGAAGAAGAAATCTTCAAATGATCAGCAAGATTGGTCTTCATATGAATGAGGCAGTGGAATACACCCTGTTTATTTGGTTGAATTTTTTGTACCTAGACTTGATATTAACCACTATTACAATCAAACTTTATAGGATTGCTCAGAGGGCTGGTCCCCCTAATGCCTGCTTTAAAAAACCTTTAAAAAACTGAAAAAGTGGATTGGAGTCAGTTTATAGAAATTATGGCAAATTTCTGCAAAAATTAAAAGTTGTTATGCTTTGAAACTTGCTACTTTGTAATGAATTTAAGAATGCTTGGTACAAACCTTTTGCTGCCTTCTTATGTATCTGGAAAGGATTGCAGCAAGTTTTTTGCGCAAGAGAGTACCTTTTGATTAGCAGCTGCTCGTGATGCAAACAGATATCAGCATCTTTGTTAATCAATGACAACCCAGACCTCCAAAATATCAGTTCTCTTACATCACAATCGATTGAATCCAGCCTTTTACTTCCAACCTTTCTCGAAAACGTGAGCTTGTGACATGGGTCACCCATTTTCTTTCCTACAGAACACATTTCTGCTTAGGGGTTCTTCGGAAAAGAGAATACTTTGCTGGTAGAGTACACCCTTTTATATAACGCATAAGACTAAGCTAAGTGAAAAGGAAATTCCACTTCTATTCAAGCATTTCCTGTTACGAAACATGGGCAATTGAAAAAGAGATACTTAATAGCAGGAAACGACACCTCAAAGAATTAAACAAAAATAGCTATTAACACCTGTGCCTAATTGAAATGACAACAATATGACATATAAAACCAATATCGATTTCCTTTTGTATGCGACTAAATGACTTACAATAGATGTTTTCACACACCTATTCAAAAGAAATAAAAGGGGATATAATTACTACATTAGAGTGCCCACACATAAGAAAACAACCCATTCATTTAACGATAACAAATGCAGTTGTCTTTCTGTTACTCGCTAGAATTTTCTTTTAAAGAGCTTGACACGTTTTTCGAAAAAATGGCAGTTTATAAAAAACGTGCTAGTGAAGGTCTCAAATTTTTAAGAATCTTTACCTAAAGTTACAACATTGCAAAGGCTTTCCTTTCTGCTTTTTTCCTTAACTCAAAGTTGACTGAAAAAACTTATTCTCAAAATCATCTGCACACAAGTTACTTTATTTGTTACTGTTACTGTTACTGTTTTTTTTATAATCTGGAGTTTGATGATGAGCAGCTTCAACAAGGCTGATTCCTTGAAATCTTGATATTTTAGATAGATTTTGTTCAAAGAAGGAGAATATAACCTCTTCAATTTTTTGCTGAGAATCAGTGTTAAGACTGGTCTCAGAGTTGGCAAAATTTGAAACTTGTCACATTTTGCCAACATTGAGATTTTCACACAAATGTCCCTAGCTTTTGTTGCCATGGCAACTATATGTCTAATTATCTATCACAGTAGGTCTTTAATTCTTTTGTAAAATCTGTTTTTAAGTTCATTTTTGGAATCTGCATGTGCAATTTACTCAGATTTGGTAATTTTTCTATCCTGAATCCAATGCTTAATAGCAGTTCAGGTTGTTCAAAAAATGTTTTAAATTCAAAATGGCGGATCTCGAAAAATTGGGACGAAAAACATAAAATTTCAAATGTTTCTATTTTTGGAAATATTTCAGATATTCACTTGAAATTTTCAATTTGTGTTTATTCCATATTTACCCATATTTACACAAAAAATCAGCAAATTCTGAAGGGATGGGTGACATGGCTGTCCCTCTTTGATATGGAATGACCCCTTTGCAAATTGAATAGCATTTGAATTTACATGCCAAATTTATATACCGGCCATACCTCAAATATCAACCTATCTATTAATTTTTGCAAGTTTTCTGTCAAAGGTGTCCAAAAGTATAAATTCCTCATGTATTTTTGCAAAATTAGAGCATTATGGAAGATTCAAGAAGATTTCATTAATGGTGCAAATGTCTCACCTTAATTCTTCTAACTTTTTTCTTGTTTTTTGCAATTCAGCATCTATCTGAGAGCAGTTTTCCTGGAATTGGAAAGATTATGATTTAAATTTGGCTCAAGAGTTGCAAAATTGTGTGATATGTGCACATGCATTAAAAGACTTAATATATTTGTTTTTATTTAATTGAAAATTAGGAAGAAGACTCACTCAGGTTTTAAGATGATCTTTATATCTTAAAATTTGCTGTGTTAACAGAGTCATATTTTTAAACACCACTATGGATGCATTTTATGTTGCTAGGTCAGTTTTAATAGCAGCAACTGCTGACTTGCTTTTACAGTATAATAAATTGATCAAGAGCATCACATGATTTGTTCAGTTTTAAAGAGGAGGCAGAACCAAGTGCAAGTCTGGCAGAAGAGTTGGAAACCATTTGGACCTTGTTAATCGAGTTTTTAGAAAAATTAAATATATTTAAAAGTAAATGCGTGATGAGGTTTATTAATGTGACAAATTTTGTGGAATCCCCTCTCCAGCCTCCCATTATTAGAAACTTTTGAAAAATAGCATAAATCAATCATTCATCACATTCTTTGTTTTGATAGTGTATCCTCAACCACCCAAACAAATTAATCCTGTATAATTAGCTGAATCCTAATGCTACAAAGTTTAGAATTTTCAACTCTGATTTCAAATCTTTGAAAATGTTTATCAAATATTGTTTCCAGTTTTAACTACTTACAACTTGATATTATAATTCCATTGAAATGAGGTATTTTTAAATTCTGCAAACCTAACTTAAAAGCTAGAAAGTTACTTTGATTTTATACAATATTTAGATTTATTACCTCTACCTCATCAATGAGACAGTCAATCTGTGAAAGAATCAATGTACATATATTTAAAAATTCAAATTTAATTGTAATACACATTTTAAATGTGTATAAAAATACAAACTTAATAGATTATTTACTTCTCAATATAAAATTATTTATGTACTTTGTTGATTTATAAACTTTGATTTTACATGAAGGTTGTGATTTGATCAAATTTTATTTCTAACAATAAACTATAGACAATTACTATCATATAAATCACAACATTTCATTGCGTTTGCGTGATATAATTATATTCCCTTTGGCAAAACAAAATAATTGTATGATGGAAACTAGCATAGTCCTATGGCTGAAATACAATGGATGTGTCTAAACTTTGACATAGTTCTGAGAGCAAACTTAGTTTTGCATTATCCTAATGTTTGATTTTCTCAGAAGACAATGTTGACTTTGAATTCCATTAGCTAAAACATCACATTCAATGTATTTGGCTACTGCAAGATTCAAACAAATATTTGTTATATAGTCGAGTTTCAAATGCCTTATACTCTATATGGAGTCTTATCTTCCTATATTTAAACTCTTTGTGTCTATAGGACTGATGTCTAATAAGGATTTGAAGTCTAGGAAGATTTTGTAGAATCTGATTAAGTCAACTGCCAGACATAATTACCTTGCTGTTTTGTTTCCATGGCCAATTTGATCCATTTTCGTCTCTTTTTGAAAAGGTTTTCCAGCCCCCATCAATGTCACTCGGCTCCCCGGTCATTTTGCAGCTTCTTGTCACAGATAACTGTGGTCTTGTCAAATGTTTTCAAATATGGACATGTGTAGAAGTAGTGTGCTTGAATCGGTTTCAACTTCCAGCAAAGAGTTCAACGGAAGATATCTCCCATTGACTAAGACCTTGAGACAAACAATATCCCTTTTGTTATCAGATTATATCTTCTATTTTACGGGCAAAGACATTCAAATTTTTTTGAATGCTTTCTATGTGTTTATTCATTAACGAATGTGTGTCAACTGTATTCTTATCTAAACCAACGCTTTATCTTCATGCTCGAGCTCAGAAACTTATCGCATAATAGAATGCACCATGATTGATCTTCTTGGAAAACGCATAC